ATATCCTTTGTGCTCGAGAGACTTTAGAGGTACAGATGTCATACAGCTGTGATTTCAGTATCTGATAGCAGCAGCATGAGTTATAGTAAGAGTTGGTGTAGACTAATAGAATGGTGAAATATAACTATGAGGGTGCATGATTGGGCTCTGCTTGTAGTTGGAGAAGTTCACTGACATCCAGGAGCACAGCCCCTCACGGAAAGGGGGTGTAAAGCATTGTAGGGCTCTGTTGGTTTTCTGTTTTATTTCATCTAGCACATGTTTCAGCTCAGATTGTTGGAAAGGATGAACGAGGGCTTACTTACAAGCACTTACTTTCCATATAATCCGTAATGTGTGGAAATCTAAACCTACAAGGATTGATTTTAATTTCCTCCAAAAAGTTGCTCCTGGCAGAATCTGATAAAGCCATTTTTAGTCTAATTCTTCCCAGCCCCCAGCCCTGCCCTTGCTGAGCTATCAGAGCATACCTATCTTTGGGAATTCATTTCGTGATCACCGCAGCTTGCATTCATTATCTCAAATACCTCCCAAATCGTCGGCTGATGCACGGGGGCCTGGAAAAGTGGTCTGACAGCATTTTCTGAAACTTTTCACTTTTGGGGGAGAACGTCCCCAGATTCTTGCTGGTGGTTTGGTTTTCTACCCCATGTTGAGCTTGCCCATTCAGTGCAGAAAATTAAGGAGAAGCAGAGCCAGTCCATAGCTCTTGATTGCTCTGTGCTGCCTCTTTCTTTTCGCCAAGATTTGCTTATTTGTGCCCAAGGCTGTTGAGTCCTTTTGGTGCCAGACTGACCCTGCTCCCAGCCTTCAGCCTGGCAGTGGCATGGCCGTGACACGAGCTCCCAGTGCAGAAAAGCAGATCACGGTCTCCTGCAGGAGAGTCTGAACCTGGGCCCAACCAGCCAGAAATTTTGTACAATTTTTTAAGAGCTTTTGGGGTACATATCTGTTTTTTACCTGCTACCAACCTGGTGAATCAAGTAGCAGCCTTCCTATGTTAGACAGGTTTTAATGAACAAGATGTACTTTCATCTTCCAAAATATCAGAATAGGAAATGCAGCAAGGGTTAGTTTCAAGCAATTTGCACATACTTGGTAAAACAGAATGATCTTCGTCATTCCTGAACTCTGAAACAGAAAAAAAATTTCTGTGGAAACAAAAACACAAGCTTGCCACTGTGCTGGTGCAGAGCGATGCATTGCAGGAGAGATTTAGCATCATGTTCTGACCTTTCTGGAAACAGTTGATATGGAAAGATTTTTGTTGTATTTATTTAAACTTTTTTCTTCCATTTATTTAAGCTAGGCAGTATATTTATTTGAAAAAATCAGCAGCATGCCAATCCCCAGTTCTTGGCATCTTAACAAAACTAATCATGCAATGAACGTAATACCCTTAAATCTGTGCTCAAATGCTTTGATCCTAATGCTATTAGGAAAGTCCTTTTGTTCTTATTCTCTATGTAAAGCACCAGGTGTGACTGTGGTACTTTTAGAAGATAATAAAGATAATAACAAGAGGAAGGTTTACTAGAGTCTTTAGTGCAATGACTATAGCTGAGTTTTGAAATATACTTCTCTACTATTTTATGTGCCACAATCATCTTGGGTTTTTTTAAGAAACAGCACAATGTGTTGCTTTCACACCAACCTTCATGCCTGGCTATCCTCCCAGATTCACCCAGGGGTGCTATTTGTTGCTGTGCCTCTACCACAGGCTGGAAACAGCATTTCAGAGACACGTTTTCAAGCACTTGAGGGGAGGCAGAGGCGGGTTGACCATGGGTATGCCCAAGTGCATGTGATTCTCGACTCCAGGAAGCTGGTGAGTGAAAAAAGTCAATACAATACCTTGGGTACACCTTCAGGGCTGGATCCAGAGGCAATTAAAACCAGTAGAAGTCTTTCTGTTGACTTCAAAGAGCCTTGGATGAGGATGCTATTCCACAGAGAGCCACCCTTCCATCCCTGGTACTTTGAGGTATTTTCTACAGGAGGTGGGGGATAGGAAAGAAATCAAGAAAAAGAAAGAGGAATATGAAAGGAGTGTTTTTATCTGTGCTTTTCAAGTGTTTTAAAGAAGGCAAGGTCAAAGCTTGTTCTCACTGGGGCGCTGTTATTGATAGATATTGTAAGTGGGCAGCAGCGTTTGCAGCGATGAAGAGTTCTGCTAATGAAATGCAAAGTTTCTCCAGGGTCCAGAATAAATGATGAGGCTGATGGCAGTAGCTAGGTGTATTGTTTCCCTAAGTCACGTGGCATTGAGATGAAGCCCGCTATTAAATTATTTTCTGCATGTGGCTCACATATGCTTAAAATCTATATGCCAAATAAAAGTTGGAAATACCTGAGATGAATTAAGAGGCAGTTGTGAAGCAGACTCTTTGCAAAGGAATTCTCAGTCTCTGATACTTGGTTACATCAGATTATTCAACCTCTCTTTTCTGTCAGTGCAAATGAGATCATAACTCACATGTGCATGAAAACAAATGAGTGGTTTAGATCTAAAAACGCACAGCTGCCTAACTTTAATTTATATTAAAGACAGACATAGAAATTATTAATTCCAGCATCTTGGGAATTACATTTAAGTAACAACGAAATTAGGCAAATTATGCCTCAACTTCTGAGTGCACCAAGGTACGCATGCAGTCTTGTTTGATGGTAGGATGGCGAGATAAATGTCAGAATCAGGCTCCACGCCAAAGTTAAGCTATTTGTAAAAGGGGGATAACAATTTTGGAAATGACTAGCACCATATTAATTGTGAGATCAAATATTTATCAACCAACTGCAGGTCCCCAGAAACATCCTTGTGTTGTTGCACAATGTGGTTATTCTGCCTTTAGAATAAGTAGTGGATCCAATGTATTTTTTTAAATCAGAGAAAAGATGCACTTGGCTGTACCTGCTTAGGATGTGGGGCAAGAGAGAGCTCTGATCAAGTGTGTGAATTTGCTCTTTAGCTTTGGCTGTCACAGTAAAGTGACGTCAACCTGCATGGAGAGCGCTTGCTGAGGAGTACTGGAATGTTTGCTAAAGTATCAGTGTTGGCCTTTAGTCTAAAGATAGTAAATGGATGAAAGTATTAGATGTTTACAACTGGGTTTGGTAGGATTTGACATGTCCTTCTTGGTGCTGATGTTCATTGCCTGGGGAGACATGTAGAAAGAATGAAAAAAATAAACTTCTGATGAAATTTGAAGGCTTATAAAAATAGAATAACATTAACTCAATCTTTTGTCTGTTGATACTAAAGAAAAAAAGTGAAGTTTGTGAATCTGGGTAACTCATGAAAGTCTCATTTTGGAACAAGGAACAGCATTTCCTCTGTTTCTCAGCACAAGGTCGAATGTTGCTCTTTGGGGTTTTTGGCCTACCTTGAAATTGGAACTGGGCTCAGGAAAACTGAGAGGCGGCCATCCCTTCCGCAGGTTGGTCTGGCTTCCCGCCTCTCATGGAGGAGCATCATTAATGGCGCTTAAGGCCTATTGATCGCAAGGGATCTCAGCTACCTTTTGTCGATCTGTAACGGTCTTGCAGCAGGAAAACAGCCTTTTTCAGGACATCGCTTATACAAGCTTTTAAGCAGCAACGTCTGATCTTATGAGTTACATCTACTTCTCTCCACGTTAGTCTGAACTTTTCCATTTTGGAGCAAGTTACTGCTCTCTCGCTGGTTCTTTGTGTACCTCTTACCACAATAGGGACTGAATGAGTTGGAAGTGGTGCCGTAATTAAAAATAATCACAGCTGTCAATGCATATGCCAATTTCTATTCTAATGGATCTTCCAGAGCTGCTACATGTATTAATTGTAGATTTTAAGGTTTCAAATGTATTCATAGGCTGGGAAGAGCTTGGGCTGTAATTTATTTCGTTGGAAATATACTCATGGAGTGGCTCCAAAACGAAGGAAGAAGCCTCATCTCTGAAAAGAAAGCAGAACATTTTATATTGAGAGATGGTTGCAACGGTGTGTTTGTGCTCAAGGATTAAACCAGGATGCTTGTGACATAGCATGTAATGACTTGCATAACATGTAATGAAGAAATTGAAGCTGAATCTCTGGGTGCATCATGCTGAGTAAGAGGCTTGTTCTACACGAAACTGTCATATTAAATTCTTGTCGTGATTTCAGACCCCTTTGATTCCTAAATCTTTTGGAGGAGACTAATCTGAAATCAAAGTGAAGTTGCTTGGGGTTTGCATGCCAGAATTGGTCACATTTGAAAAAGTTCAGTGAACCTGCAGAGGGAGGTTGAAATTAGTTGCTTCACTACAAAGCTTACAGCTAACGTACCTGCTGATTTGCTTTTTGCTTTGATTCTTCAGGCTCTGCCTTCTTGCCACTTTCTGAGTTGTTTTCAAAATGCATAAATCTTAAGGATGAGTATGTCCTGATTTCAGTCTGTTTAGGTAAAAAAAAAAAAAGTAAATCAGTCTACACTGGTAAAACAAACATGAGCTTTAATACCAAGGACATGGAAAAAACATGCAGTTTTCTCTTCTGCCTCATCCTTTGTGCAGTTATTTCTCTCTGTGAAGGTGTGTATCACGCTTTACTCTCCTGATTTACCAACATTTGACCTCCCTTTGTACCAAGATAAATGGAAATGGTTCCTTTCAAGTTCTTCTAAGTAGATACTGAAGGGTCCTGCCTTGATCCCCGTAAGATGACTCTGCTCCTTTGAAACCGCTGGAGCAATGCCAGGAATCCAGCCTGTTATCCCTGCTGAATGTCAGCTGCTTTCTCTATTTTGATATTGGCATTTTGGGGAGCTTTGACCAAGAATATCATGCAACATTAAGTGCAAATGGGAGCATTTCCAGCGGTTATATTCTGCCCTTCCATATCCCCCTCAAGCTTTGTATAGGCTGCCTGGGACCTGCTTTTTGGTCCAATTAAAAGAAAATGCCCTGGGTAGCCATGGCCCACATATAACCATGTAGAAGGCCCTGCGTGAAAGCTGATCTTTTGTTACTTTATATTTACAGTGTTCTGTCTCCTGTGGAAGGGGCCAAAAGCACCGCAACGTGTACTGTTTGTCAAAGGAAGGGAGGCATGTAGAAGAAGAATATTGCAAGCACCTTGCTAAGCCCAATGTGCAAAAGAAATGCAGAGGGGGCAGATGTCCGAAGTGGAAAGCAGGAGACTGGGGACAGGTGAGACACACTGTATACCCTTTTGCACCCTTTGATATTCTTCCTCCATCCAGTTGGTTAGAAGCTGTTTTTCCTATCGCTTCTGTCCTCTTGAATTTTTCAAGGGTAAATGTTTTGGGCCAGATCCTCAGGTGGCATAAACCAGTGTAGCTTCATGGATAGCAGTGGAGCAGCACTGATTTGTACCAGCTGAAAGCATGGCAACTTGCTTTTAGTATCTAACTGAAAGCAAATTCCTTAGTATATAATATTAAGGAGAATCTACTATTTATTCATGTTTTTAATATCATTATTACTTAACTATGTCAGATCCCAAGCAAAATCTTCCTTAGTTTTGAGAAATCTGAAATTAATTTTATTTTCAGCTTCCTGGGAAATCCTAAAAAACAATCCAAGCTGTTGATTAAAAATGCTTTTCACTATCTTTTGTTTCTTAACAAGCTCATCAGTTAATTTTGCTTCATTAAAAAGTCAGACACTGATGCATGGAGCAGAGGCTGCTGGAAATGTGAAAGTGCTTGGAGTTATTAAGCATCTTGTTTGCTGAAAGCACAGCTTGAGTTCTTGTTTTCCTGAAAATAATGTCTTTGTCATCACCTTGAATCTGCTGCATCACATTTTTATCTCTGAACCTTGCTTTTCCCTCTACCTCGTTAGTGTGCTAATCAGCAGAATTACTGAAAATCCCAGACTAAATGAACTGTTACTTGTAAAACATCATGTTCTCTTGCGGCCTGTCTTCCAAATTAAGGTACAAAACATCAGTTCTCACTGTATGCAAGTTCCCTGAAAGATAAACCGTTATCATCACTACAGGCACCCATGCAAATGTTAGGACTAGGACAGAATACTCTTGTTTAATGTCAACTATTAAAAAAGTCAATAAACCTATTGATGTTCTATGATTGTTTTCAGGCTTGTATTTTTTTTTATGCTTACCTTTGCCTTTATAGGATAGCAGTATTTACTATTATGTGTGTAAAGGGCTAAGTGTGCATTCACTGTGGAGGTTCAGTTCCTGAGGTCTGGATCCTTTACCTGAGGTACGGCTGGGAGCACCCAGGTAGCCCTGCGTAGCCCTGTGAAATGCACAGTGCTGCTCCCATACCGAAAATTAAATCAATATTATTACCTTTATTACCTGCAGGACGTAAACCTCAATTTTATACAGCAAGCTAAACTGAAAATAAACGCGAGGCCATTAGATAGTCTTGTCATATCCAATTTGCACCTTATTTAAAGTGACTGCTCCTGAAAGCAATTTTTTGCAGCTAATAATTGTAAACATAATAATGTAATGGTCTGTCGATTGCATTAAAATACGCTAATGTTAATTGATAAAAGTAAGTATTTTTAAATTCCCAACATTCCACCACATGAACAGTTAATTTTATGCAAGCGGAGAAAGAAACCCAAGTTAATAGGAGGATGAGGTGATTTATGGCCTGAGGTAATCTCTTGTGACTAGGCAATTAAGGAATATTTGTATGCTAACGATAAGACTAAGAATAAGCAGCGCATTTCCAGCATGTGGGGTAGCTCCTCGGCCCAGGTCCCTGATGCTGTATGTGCTCAGCCAGCCGGCATCTTGCTTGGTGAAAAAATAAAGGGGTAGAAACACCCATTCTGCCATATCAAACTGGGCTTTTTAAAGCCACATGAAATGCTCTGACATGGCTTCCTTGCGTCCCGATCCTCACTCGTGCTGGCAGCATTTCTTTGCCTACGACAGACGAAAAGCAGGGCGCTCAGAAGTTTGGAGCACCGCCGTGGCTGTCCCTGCCGGCGGTGTGCAGGGCTTGCACGGCTTTGCAGAAGATTTAATGCCTCAGAGCCGAGGTGGATTTAGGTGCTGAGCTTCTCATTAAGACTATGACACAGCCAGGGGTTTGGCACTCTGAATACCCAGTAGGTCAGGATCTAAATGGGCACGGAAACTCTGTGTCACCTTCCCCATCACCAGTGACACTGTTGAAAATAGGGAGCCATGATCAGTTTGCACTTAGATGCTATCAAAAAAGCTTTCTGAAGGCCTAATTGCCTCCGAAAGATAATCCCAAAGCTGAGCTGCTGTGAGCTGGGTGCCTTTTGTCCTGGGTAAACCGGCAAAAGTCTGCATGAGAAATAAGGCAAGGTTTTCCCATAAAAGTGTACCCTCCTTATCGCCATATATGCACAGGTCCTGTTGCATGTGCCTTTAAGGGTTTTTTTCTTTTCCTTTTGGGAAAAGGAATGATTAAGAAAATCAGGATTAAAAAATACAGGAATGGTTTAAAAATGAATCCCAGCCGGCTGAGCCAAGTGCTCTGCTCCCAAGTTTTTTTTGTCTCTGGATGTTTTGTATTCAGAGGCTGGGTAATTCTTTTCTAGACTGTTATGAATCCACTTTCCTGCAGCAAAGCATTTTTAATATATCTGTAATAATCAGAAGCAGAGAAAAAAGGCTTTTTCTTAAGTTTGAAATGTGCTTGTGTCTGCACTGAAATGTCAGATTTAATGTGTTTGCATCTCCTAAGTAGTATCAATTATGGCCATTTACCTTAGCAAAAATACCAATATTTATTCTGCTTTCTGGTATTTACATATTTCAGCTACAGGCTGAAATCCTGCCCTGTCTAAAAACATAGGTAGATCATCAGGTAGAGCTTCTTGCATAGCCAAGCTGGCACTTGGCAGTTCGGTGATTGACTTTCTCAGTGGAGACAGGAGCACTCCTGGGAAAATGTATAGACTCCATAGAAAGGACAAACAGGCTGCCTGGCCCATGGCATCCCATAGGGGAACGTATAAGTACAGCACAAGTTGACTGCCCCCAAACTGAATGTCTCCTGGCAGTGTCAGCCGGCTGTATTTCCCTAGGGTAGACACAGGCTGACGGACCAGTATTCTGGATTAAAATAGCCAGGATGAAAATGGTGTTAAACCCCACCTTTTCTTGCTTCTGTAATAGCGCATAATGGTGTTATTTTGAAGCCAGCCATAAATTCAGCCAGAGGCACAGCAATACTGATGCTGGAGCGCAGGCAGCAGGAGGAAGCACCCCGTAGAAGGAGATGCCTCCATCCGCTAGGAAAGCTCCCATGGCCCCAACTCACCAACTTTCGCCCAAGGCGGGTGCAGCCCTTTCCCCCTCCTCAGCAGGGCTCCGTGCTCCGGCAGCAGCAAGACACTGGTGCGGCTGGGTCAGCCCCACCACAGCCCTCCTGTGGCCCCAGGGCTGGGCTCGCCTGCAGCTTCGTCTTCTCGGCCGGATCCACACTGGTATCCCTTTCTCCCGTGCTGTGGCTGGATCGCACTGTGGCTGCCGTGGGTGTCTGGCCACCAAGTGCACTTAGAAAGCCCGTTCAGCTAGGAAAAGCCTCCCCTGCATACGGTCTCGCAATTAGCCCAAGGAAAAGCTCTTTTCTTGCTTGCTCGCTTGCAGGAGGGGAGCTCAGATCTCTTCCAAGGGATGACCTGGGACACAGCAGCCCTGGCCTGGGGTCCTGGTGGGGCTCGCTCCCCCACCATGAGTCTTCCCACCAATTCAGTCAGGGTGCAGCATTTATCCTCGTGGGCTTACACGGGAGCAAAGATTCACCTCGAGCGTGCAGTGAAATGAGTCTGCAGCTTTGCCTGGTGCCCTGCTTTGCCCGGCACGGCCAGCCTCCTCCTCCCCAAACCCGCTCTGCCCCGGTGTCACATGCAGCACAGGTCCCCGTGAAGGAGCCATGGCATGACTTTCTCTCCCTTATCATAACATACCCAGGCATGTGCATTTTAGGTGGGTGATAAATGCAAACCAAAAGGCGTTTTAGAGCATGGTATGCAACCTGGTGTATATGTTTCTCCAAGTTTGTGGCCATTATTCAGTTTAACTGTCCCCTGTGGAATGCGTAGGACAAACAGCGCTGTTAATCAGAGGGAGGCAGCGCAGCACATGGGAAGCATTTGCATCACCAGCGACAGAAATCTCACTGCTACTTTCAAAAGTTACACAAAAAAACTCCCACCCTGTTACAAATATCTGAAGCCAGGCGAATGTTCACAGTCAGCTTTTCTTTGGTCCTCTTGGCTTTATGGGACGTTCGGATAGTAAAGCAAATGGAGCATTACGGAGGAATACTCTGCAGAAGAGAGAATTGCTTCCCCGTTAGGCACTTAATTCCCTGCCTTAAGAAGGCTCACTTTTATGGGTGTTGCAACAACAGTCCGTAAACTTGTTTGCTTAGTTCCTGATGTATTAATAAGATTGCTTACATTAATTGTTAATTCAGCAAATGGTTATTTGTAATAGCTATGTTTTAAATGCATACCTTTGATTTTTACACGTGTTCTTCTACAAATGCAAATTCTTTTTATTCCGAATCTATATCATGTACTTTAAGATCTAGCCAGGAAGGATCCATACCAGCGAGAAGTTAAGTACTGCTAAACATATTACAGCGTGCAGTCACAACAGTAAGAAATGTTGCGTGGAAGAAAAAACAAGCTGTTAAAAGCATTGTGGTGTAGATAATAATTTGAAGATGTCTGAGAAACAGAGAAATTCAGGCTTTTCTTGCTGTGCCTAGGAGTGGGGAGAAATGTGCCCACAGCGTAATGAAGGAAATGTGAAATGCAGTTAATTTTAAGAAAGACATTTTCACAAACTAACAGTATGCCCTGGCTGGTGTGCATGTGCATATTTCGATGCATGCTGAAAGAAATCCCAACTGTATCATAACTTTACCTCTCTATTGTTCCAGACTTATTTCTATATAATTCAAGTTTGCTTTTCATTCAAGTCCACTCCATTGACACTCATGGCATTTGATATATTTTGAACTATTACTTTTTTGAGCCTAGTGCCTGAGAAGTAATATACAGAGCATTGCCGCCTCTGGCGTGTGGCGATGGTTTAGCAGTGCTGCTATCTCCAGAGGTTTTTGCAATATAAATCCTGTCTGGGAAATCCTGACCCCACTGAAGCCAACGGCAAAAATTCCCGTTGGCTTCAGCGAAGCAGGGATTTCAGCCTGTCTGCTCTGCCCTTGCAAAATTTTTCCCTTGTGCAATGAAGACCCTCACCTGGAAGGTTAAACACCGGCATTAGAGCATTGCTATTGCTGCTGTTGAGCACAGAGCAGAGGGCGAACCCCGGGAACTTACCGTGACGGCTGCGATGGGGACCGCCACTCACCTTTTGTCCCTTCCTCTAGTGCTCGGTGTCCTGCGGCCGGGGCGTCCAGCGGCGCGCTGTGCACTGCCACAGCGGCACCCCGAAGGCAGCTGAGGAGGGAGAGTGCGACCTGGCCAGCCGGCCCCCTTCGCAGCGGGACTGCCACCTCCCCGAGTGCCCCACGCACCGCTGGGCAGCCGGCGAATGGCAAGCGGTAAGCAGGGTCCCCCCCTCCGCCCTTCCCTGGGGTCGTGTCACTTGTGCTCTCAAGCGTGCAGTGCCGGATGATGCTGGAGTCTGGGGGCCGCCGATGCCGGGGATTGCTGCCAGAGGGCTGGGGTTTTGGGGCTGCATCCCAGGCTTGCCAAAAAAAAGCAGAGGAAATGCTCACGCGTGCTGGCTGGAAGGGGGGAGCTGAGAAATACCTCCGTAGGGTTAATTTATTGCTTTGTGCTGCCCTGTGTTTGGCTGGGACCTATGCAAATACTGAGCAGGTTTTGGGTAGGGCAGATTTGGGTCTGTTTAGGAGGCTGAGCGTAACCCCCCTCGGACCGAGCCCTGTCATGCTGCTCCGGCAGTGAGCCCTGCGCATGAGGGTTTGGAGGAATTGGGGAACATCGGTAATTCCCACTTTCCTGCCTCGTTACCCCGGCTCCTTCTGACAACTCTCTCCTTTTGCTGAGCTCCGGGTCCATGCTTTTTGCCAAGCCATGAGCAGCACTGAGATGAGATCTCCCACAGGAGATTGTGTTTTTCTGAGTGACCAGGATCAGTTCCCAGCAAAGCCAACCCCTGAGGCTGGAGCAGGGGATAAAGCTGCTGCTCCGATGGTTCAGGGAGCAACTCCGACCTGCCTGCACTGCGGGCGATGGGTGGGCCTGAGGCTGGTGGGTGGCAGGAGGACAAGGGGACTCTGGGCAGGAGGAAGGGGGTCCAGGAGGAGCCTTCTCATCAGCTGCCTGCAGGATGCTGTGGCAGGTTTCGAGTCCACAACAGGTTTTGGCACAGAGAGTTCAGACTAGGCACAAAAATGATTATTTTCATTCTGGTTTTGTTCTGTTTTCAGCCATCCCTGAGCAAAAGAGTCCTGCCCCAGTGCTCCTCCATCCCTGTTCCACTGTCCCAGGCTCTTCCCTGTGGTGCAGGGACTTCCAGCCTTGGAAATGGGGAAGGTGATGGAGCTGCCAGCTCTGGGGAGCTGACTGCTGTGTCACACAGCCTGCAGAAGAGGCCACCAATCGCATGGAGAGGGTGTCCTTGTCACACAGGGAGAAGGGAATTGCCCATCATGGGATCTCCATGGGGATGCAGGGGATGGAGAGGGGCAGAAGACCCCCCCAACCAGGTCCATCAGCCTCTCTGCAAAACCATTGCTGGCCCCAGTGGCAGGGCAACAGGGGCTCCATCCTGCACCCTTTGAACAGCAAAGATCCTACTGATTTTGGAGGTGCATGATCAGAGCCTGATCCTGGTCACCCTGATGCCTGCAGTGCACAGCTCTGGGGAGCAGGATAAATATTAATCAAACGGGGGCCCGGCTTTTCTTGGCAGTCAGGCTGCTTTTATATTGCTCCTGTATGGCCTGGCAGGGCTTGAAGGGGGACGAAATTGGTCGAGGTCCCTTCCCCTGCCGAGACAGTGTAAAGAGGCCACGGTTTAAATGCAAAACAGGGCTGGTAACAAAAGATGGGGAGGCACCGCTGGCTTCCTGCTCAAAGTCTTGGTGTTCACAGACACTTCCAGCGCCTGCCTTTCTTGTGTCACTAAAAAAAAAAAAGAAAAAAAGAAAGAAAAAGAGAGGGAGGATGAGAAAAGCAGATTTACTGACGAGAGAAAAAAGTTGCGCAGCCTCTACATGCATGAAACGCTTTCTGCTGCAGCAAGAAAAAATTGAAGGTCAAGGCAGCTTGTGCTTTCCTCTCATCTTTCCTTCCCCATGAGCTTGTGACTGCACGGAGCACCCCAGGCTGCAGGCAGCCGCGTGTCTGACATTATCTAATATCCCCCCACCCGCGGTACCTCGGCCTGACGGGGACAGTGCAAATAAGTTTAGCTTCATTTCTCCGGTCTCGGCAGAGCTGGGAAGTTATAATGGGTTTCTAATTCTATGCAACACCTCCACGGCTACAAGAGGCTGGAGGGGACCGTGCCCCATTCCCACCTGCCCGGGAGCTGAGGTGTGATGGGATGCAGCAGGAGGCAAAGCCGAGCTGACCACTCAGTGGTACCCGACAGAAACATCCCAGCCTGACAAAGGAGCGCAGGAATGGCTGAGGGGGCTCCAGCAAATTCCTTGCAATGAACTTTTGCTTTTACGGAGCCCGTTAAATTTCTTCAGCTAATAAATTTACAGGCAGCAAAGTAGGTAACCAAACAGCATGCAGTTGCATGCATTACCCAACGGTGTAATTAGCCCTGAAAAGCCACGGCTCCTACCCTGTCTTTTCGCCCTCTTTTCCTTATTTTTGCAGCTTTTCAAACCAGCAGCAAGAGGCCCCTGCCTGCCCCCAGCCTGCCAAGCCCTTGGTGGGAGGTGGATGCTGATGTTTTCCTAAGTTTTCCAGGGCTCCTCATTGCACTGGGGGAATTTTTAACATATTACAGAGACTTTTTTTTTTTTTCCCAGGGGATCTTTGCTAGGAGGGTGGGCTGGAAGTTTCCTGACCCATAAATAACCATTAACAGAAAGATGCAGGAGATGCCCAATGTGAGCTTGCCCCTTTGGGTGACTCCAAGCAGTTCTTCTTCTGAGCACTTCTTATTTTGTTCTGATGTACCAGGTGAAAAAAAGTAATAGCGCCTTCTCCCCAGCCATAAGTACTGGCTGCATGTTATTTATAGTGAGGAGGCAGAGATTGCATTAGTATCCTCTGAGCAGGCAACAGCAATGAGCCCTAATTGACATGAAAGGCGGGATGTAAAATAACTGTCTTGTTCTTGATTTCTTATCTTTAAAGGGAATCTGTCAAGAGGGGTTTTTTTTATTGTTCCTTTTTGTTATTGTTGTTTAGAAAAAAGTTGGTCTTGCCGATGAAAAGGAATAGGGAACTTATTGGAAACCATTTATTGCTCTGTTGGTGTATCACCATTAATTAGCTGTTCTCGGTGCCCACACCAGTGAGAAGAGAGTCAATAGAAAGGGCCTTGCTAATGTCAAAGTAAAACCCAGACCAGGGTCACAAAGAAAAAGGGAAAATTGGGAGAAAGAAGGTTTGTTTTTTTTTTTAATATGAACCTCCGTGGAAGGACAACGCATGGCTCTGGAAGCTGCAATGCAATTCTTGAATCATTTGCTGTTTGGGGTGAAATCATGCCATCCTTGCCTGATTTGGATTGCAGAGTTCCCCAAGGCATGTTTGAAGTGTTTGTGGCATGGGGTTTCATTTCATCTCTGTGACAGATTTTGATTTAAAAAAAAAAAAAAAAAGAAACAATGAATGCTTTCGCAAAGCAATGCCTTTGGGGTTTTTTTAATTATTATTATTACTCTTCTAAAACTGTTGTAGAAGTGCTTGAAATGGTCCTTAATTTGAACTGCCAGGAAAATAGTTCAAAATTTGGGAAATGAGACAAAAGAGAGAAATATTGTCAAATGCCTGACCTGTTTTTCAGCTCTTGCTGTTATCCCCCGGCCCTGCTGTTTTATGTGAGATTTAGATCAGTCATGAGCATGAGATTTCATACAAAATCTATCACCGTATTAAAAGGAAAAATAGCCTTTTCATGCTAGCTGAACTGTCCACTTGCTATGAGAATAATGTTTTATAACCTTGGGGTGGCTGATTGGAACCTCTGCAGTGTTTCTCTTTGATTTGTTTTATGATGGCCTCACTGTCTTTGAGCCGTATTTAATACCTCAGTGGGATTATTTGAATTGCCAGTTATCCCCAAAAATACAAATAATCAAACTTTAATTTACTGATGATGACAAAACACACAGAGCTGGCTCAGGTTTATTTGGCCACATGACCGTTATTTGCAGAGAAACCCGAAGCAGGCTGGCATGTGTTTGAGAGTGTCAATCTCTCATCAGCAACTAATGATTTTAAATGAGGATGGGCTTTTGTCATGGTAACTCTTCATGGCTAATGTCAGAAGACCCATTGATGGCATAGAGATTATTCATCCTCCTAAAATTAAGCATAGGCCAAGGTACTTTGCAAATTTAGGCTTAAATACCCATGAAGGGGAGGGGACGAAATCAGCCTTGTTTCTTCCCACTCCTTGTGAGGTGCCTCGTTGGGCTGTGAGCTGGAACGATTCACCCTGCGCTGGTGACCACGGGCTGGGCTGGTGTATGCCAAACCAGAGACAAGGGGAGCTTTGAGCATCCCATAGCCCGCTCCCACTGTGTCGGAGAGTCCCTCGTTAGAAGGGAGCAGGAAAGTCAGGGTTCGTGCTGCCCCTGAAGGGAGCCGCTCAGGAAAGCTACGTGACGATGGAGCGCTCGTGATGCCTTCTTCACATGCAATAACCCCCTTTCAGATTTTACTTATATAATAGGGAGGTATTGGAGAAGGGCAAATATAGCACAGTTTGTTTGCTCTCTGGGGAAATCACACTCCAGCAAATTCCTCCAGCCCCTGTAGGATCGCTGTGTTTTGGTACAGACCTAGAAGGAGCTTCCACTCCAAGGACTTAAAGCAAGAGAGTAAATAAGGTTGAAAGCACATGAAGCCCTTGGGGTCTTCTGGCAGACTGGGGATTTTGCAATGTTGACTGTTGCCTAAGAGCTCCTAGGTTATTCCTTTGGAATAAATGCTGCTTTGTGGGGCTGCCTCTCCTTCCCCGTCCCCCTCCACTTTGCATGGTTACTAAATATTTACGACCAACGTGACGTTGCGCTCGCCACAGCTCTCCTGGTTTACTGCTCCTGCCACGGATTGATCTGATTTTGCAAAGTTCTCACATAATTTGCAGTCTTGGTTCTGATGGCTAATTACAGAAACAGGGGCCTGACAGTGCCTGCGTTTCACAATTAGGTGAACCCACTAAGATCTTGCTAATTGTGGGCCAGCCAGGAGAGCAGGAGCTGCGTCAGGGAGGCTGGAAACGATGTTTGGAGGGTGAGACTCTAACTGGATTAAACGGGCACGGTCCTCCGAGCCTAAGGTGACTTCAAATGATGTTTCTGTACAGATAGGGATGGTCTGATTGAAAGTTTTATCCTTTTCCTTATGGGAAGATATTTCCTTCACATTATGTAAAATGATTATTTTCATGCATTTTTTTTCTCCTTGTTAATCCAGTTAGTTGAAAGTGTTAGAAGTCCATTACAGGCAATAACTTTAAGAAAATAAGGTTTTATCCAGACAGCTGCTCTTACGCTAATTTATTTTGTTTTATGTGTGTGTTTTGTAACATGTGCTCCAAGCACAGACTCGCTCTCAGGAGCGTGGCCTCACATCCAGGCTGTTTTTTCCAAGATGAGCAGAGAAAGAACCGAGTCCTTAAAGTCTCCAGAAGCCCCTAGGGAGCAGTTGTGCTCGGCTAGCAGGGGTTGCTCTTAATATCAGGCAGGGCAGCATTTAAAAGACAATAAATCTGTAGGGCCCCCTCCACTGCAGCTGTTGCAGAGATGTGCCCCCACGCCATGCCAGGGCAGAGCGCTGCTGCTCGCCCGTTGGCAGGAATCGGGCAAGGGGCTCCCCCCACACCAGCCACAGCCAAGGGTGCGATGGCATGTATTTTGGAAGTGGGATGGCTGGGTTGTCGTTCTCCAAGCAGCTGTATTTACTAGGGACTGAAATGATGGGGGTTGGCCCCTTTCATTCCCCCTTGCCCCATCTCCTGACCCAGCATGCCCAACCCTGCATCTCTTGGTCCCATCACAGCTGGACCTCACATTCACCCCACCCCAATACCTGCTGCCTCGGTTTCTCCTCTCTCCTTATGCTTGCAATTTGGCTTGTTACCTCCAGAGGACGGGAGCAGTTTGTCACTGGATGCTCCCGCAGTGCCTGGCAGAGTGGGGCCCTGGTCTTAAATTTATCCCCAGGCGATACCCGTGAGAGATGCCAACATGGGGCACAGAGCCATCCACTCACCTAGGCTGCGGGGAGGAGGGCTTGCTCGCTTTGCAGATGCGGATTAATTTGCTGAAGTCCCTCGTGGATTGCATGAGCCGTTGTTTCTTGCAAACAGTGTATGAAGACGTGCGGGGAGGCATCCCGGTACCGCAAGGTGGTCTGCGTGGATGAGAGCAAGCGGGTGCAGAACAGTGGCTACTGCGACGCCAGCAAACGCCCCCCCGAAATCGAGAGCTGCGGCCTGCTGCCCTGCGAGTACATCTGGATCACCGGGGAATGGTCGGAGGTGAGTCCCCATCCCCATGCAGGGACCTGGCTGCTCGGCACCGGGCCGCGCTCTCCTCCTCTCGCCTCCAGCCTCGCTGAGATATTGTAACCCAAATCAACAGTGGCAGGGCAGGGCTGCGTGGTTTAATTATTATTTTTTGGTTTGTTTCTGTGTGCAATTTCCCTGCTGGAGAGAAAAGAGCGGGGCTGTGGGAGAAGACCAGGATATTAAAGAGTAAATGCCAACGTGCTCAGAGTCCTAGCTAATATCTCGAGGCAATTTTCTTCCAAAGCACATTGTATCCAGCAGACATCCTCTTTGGTTTTGTGCCATTTTATTTCATTTATTTATTTATTTGGTTTTATTCCAATCCCCTCCCAGGCAGCTCCAGGGCCCCGGGAGCTGTGTGAGGGTCTGGGTGAGCATCCTGGGGGAAAGGCGAGCCTGGATGTGACAGTGGGGGCACGTCCTTCCTCGGTGCCGTCTTTGGCAGGAGCAAGGACCCATTGTGAGCGAAGGCAGCAAGTTCGCCCTTGCGTCTGGGAGAGGGCTCGGCAAAGAAAATAGATGGGTTTTCTTTGCAGCAGGCAATGCATACGGGAGGACCCGGGTTAATCTCAGCCTGTTTCCTTCTTCAGCAAGTGAAGGATTACTTTCCACTTGGAGGAACAGCAGAGGGAAATGACAAGGCAGTTGCTGACACAGCACTGATTAAAACGAAAGAACAAGAAAAGGGAAAAAGGAAAACATGCCGGGACCGAGGGGGAGGAGATACAAGCCACCTGAGATAGTGCAGGAGGGAGAAACATGGAGAGATGAGAATTTCTTAGTGCAGCCTGGCCTCCTGGGTAGTTTTCTAAGAGAAATATTAGGGTGCCTGTGAGGCTGGAGCCCTGGTTGCCCTTTGCCCAGACACCCTCTACCCGCTCCCACTGCCTGGGACCCCCTGGGAGCACTCAGGACCATGAAGACAAGGAGGTGGGCGAGGGCTCGTGGAGCTGGAGGACAGCTCGCCCCAGCTCCTGCTCAGCCTTTTGGTGAGGAGGGCAGAAGCACTGTTTGTCCTCTAATTAGAAGGAAAACCTTCCCTTTCTTCCAGTTGCTGCCAAGTACCTGCAATTCAGGGTCAATCTTGACCCTTTTCTTTCTCTGTGCACCCCATGGTAAAAAAAGAAAAAAAAAGAAAAAAAAAGAAAAAAAAGAAAGAAAAACAAACCCAAACCCCAAATAATAGAGGCATTTTTGAGTTCCCAAGGATCTTCTGCTCCTTTCTTTGACCTTGGGAAGAGATAACTTGTGCCCAGGAGCCAACCTGGAGCAGGGGGTCCTGGAGCAGCTGTAGGAGCAGCACAGGGAGGAATTGGGAGCTCAAAGGCAGCGTCGAGCACCAACCCACTTGTAGACATTTACAATACTCATGGCTGGCTTAAATAGTTATTAGCGATCCCTCGGAGCAGCTTGCCGTGCTTTTCCTCCCCGTTTCAGGCAGCCTTCCCAAACCGTGCGGTGCTAACAGGCGCTTCCTCTGCCCGCAGTGCTCCGTCACGTGCGGGAAGGGATACAGGCAGCGCCTGGTGTCCTGCAGCGAGATTTACACCGGGAAGGACCACTACGAGTACGGGTACCAAAACACGGTCAACTGTCCTGGCACACAGCCGCCCAACATCCAGCCCTGCTACCTTGGGGAGTGCCCTGTCTCGGCATCCTGGCGCGTCGGCAACTGGGGAAGCGTAAGTTTAGCAAACTTCTTTTTTTAACCAAAAAGAACTGGAAGTAACTTGTATTTCTTTACACCGGGGACACAGTCTGAAGTTTTGGCGGGGGAATGTTTCAGAGCTGCATAAATTAATGCAATGAATACCCTTGTGCAGCAGCCGCCCTGGTGTGTGTAGGGCTCCTGCTCCAGACTGAACCCCATCGTATGGGGGAGTCCCAGCAGCCACAAGTCATGATCTCCATGAAAATTCAGATGTAGCCAAAATGTGGCAGTGTGTTGATTTGCCGGTGCAATGCTTGCTTAGTCAGAAAGTGGGGTCTTTGCCAGAAAACAAGGGTTTGAAAGCCTTGGATAGCTGGCAACTGGGGTTGATCCTACTTGGCCATGTGTATAAGCAAGACTTGGGAACCACCAATAGGCCAAAACACAGGTAATTTGAGCCTTAAAAGGATTTTTCTTTCTTTGCCCCTCCCCCTCCTTCTTACAAATGCTGGGACAGGGCAGGGGAAAGAAGTTAGCCTTTCTGCTAAAGTTATTTGTGTTGAGCCTCTTCTGGGGCCTGAACTACAAGATCAAATTTTAGTTAAGGTGATAACATTTCACTTCTTTGGGCTTCTGACATTCTTTGAAATGTGATGTTTCTCCTATAAATCTGATTTATTAACCCAGCTCAGGCATTTGTAGGAATTTGTCAAACCTTTACAAGGCAACAAGGGTCAAGTCAAGCAAAATGTAGTGGAAGTTGTCACAGTAAATGGTAAAGCCATTTGAAACCTAAGGTCCTCCTGCCCCATAGGAAGCTTCAGATCCTCCCTGCGAGTCAGATCAGAGGAGTTACAGCAAAGAGCTCAGCCTCAGTTAATTGGTATTTTCCCCCAGGTTTTCAGTGCAAAATGTCCAATTTGTTAATACAACTTCATTGTGAAGAGTATTCCAGAGAGCAAGACCTTTCGCCTCACTGTGGGCTGCTGAACATCCTACTGACTACCAAGTGCCACGACCCTTCTCATCTCTGATATTCAGAGGGATTTAATGTAAAATACCATCACCTTTGATGGACAAAGAGAGTCCTGCGCAGCCTTTTAGTTAAGTTTTATGGATTTGGACCTGATAAAGAGTAAACGCCAAGTTGCGAATACCATGAGCCATTGAAGACCATCTCCTTCATGGTGTGCTCCTTTAGACTCGTAATTTCTAAATAGATGAGCAGCAGCTTTCAGTACTTAAAGGGGGCTTATAAGAAAGACGGGGACAAACTTTTTAGCGGAGCCCGTTGTGATAGGACAAAGGGTAATGGTTTTAAACTAAAAGAGGGTAGATTCAGACTAGATATAAGGAAGAAATTTTTTACAATGAGGGTGGTGAGACACTAGAACAGGTTTCCCAGAGAGGTGGTAGATGCCCCATCCCTGGAAACGTTTAAGGTCAGGTTGGACGGGGCTCTGAGCAACCTGATCGAGTTGAAGATCTCCCTGCTCATTGCAGAGGAGGTTGGACTAGATGACCGTTAAAGGTCTCTTCCAAACCAAACTATTCTATGTTTCTATTCTATGATTCTATTCTATCATTTTCTTGGCAGCCTAACCTAGTACCTGTAGAAAGAGCTGTTTTTCAGTTCTCAAGTACTGAAAGAACAAGTTGCAGAGGGGGAGCAAGATGCTTCCACCTTCCCTCACCTGTGCTCAGCAGCAACCAGCGCGGACAAGCTGCTGCTCAGTAGCTCCAGTGCAATTTCAGCCTTAAGATTGTTCTTGATTTGTGCTGTTTGATGATGACCCAGTGTGTGCGCAGATTTAGCCATCTTTCCAGAAGGTGAGGGGAGAGAGGGTCTGGAGGCTGTGGGTTTTTTGGTGCAATTTGGATAGAAAACAACAAACCATGTCATGTTTGTTCAAAGGTCCCTGTCACTCCCAAGCAATGTCTCCCAGCCACCAGGAGAGGATTTCTACCGTTCAGGCCTTCTGGTGAACATCCCTTTCTTGTACGACCATCCTAGTGTGAAAAATAAACAATTTCACGTGAGCGCATGGTTCACCTTAACCAATGCTGCCTCATTCTGGAAAGTGTTTAAGTGCAAAGCGAAGTTCAGTAGTCTTCTTGAAATAATTAGTGATGATGATAATAATGAAGGGATTAATAATAAAAGGGATTACTTGTTTGATTAAAATTAAGCCTGTTTGAACACTTTGCAGGATTGGGGCCTTTGCTGCTGTCTCTTGATACAAGGGAAATGGGCTTTCTCTGTTCTTCTGGAGCCCAGAAACCCTTGAGATAAAACACGAATCTCTGTGTTCTGTCTTGCAGTGCTCTGTCACCTGTGGAGTTGGAGTCATGCACCGGTCGGTGCAGTGTTTGACGAATGATGACCAGGTCAGCAGCTTGTGCCGTGCAGATCTGAAACCCGAAGAGATGAGGACATGCCGCAACGTCCATGACTGTAAGTCTGCGGATTTGGACGTTACTTTGCATTTCTCGTGGCTTGAGCATCTGTTCCCATGAAACTCCTAGAGATGTGCAGTATTTCCAGGCATTGGGAGCCATCCAACTAAGCACTAAGGCACTTCAGGGAGCCCTCTTAAAAATAAACAAGGTGTTTTGATGCTTTGGACGCCTTACAGTGTTACAAAAGAAATTTTGGTGTACAGTTGCTCAGTGACTACAAGTATTTCTGTTTTGTTTCAGGTGAATTACCAAGGAGTTGCAAAGACGTTAAAAATCTCAAAGGTGTCACTGAAGATGGCGAATATTTCCTTCGAGTCAAAGGAAAGGCGTTAAAGGTGCATTTCAGCAACAGATTGATAGTTAATGCATTTCCCAAAGGTGAAGAGGACCCTGCGCGTGCTCTTCACTTCCACGCTTGGATTTTCTACCTTCGGTTTTCTTGGCCACCCCTTTGCACATGATACCTGACAAAATTCTGGCTTCTCTCTCTCAGGTGTATTGCTCTGGGATGCAGACTGACAGCCCAAAGGAGTACGTGACCCTTGTAAATGGGGATGCAGAGAATTTTTCAGAAGTGTATGGATACAGGTAAGAAATCCCTTAATTCTGAGCTTCACAATATTTTTGTTTTCCATGGCAATATTTTCCAGTCATGAGTAGAAAGGGTTTTCTTTTGATTTAGATTGCATAACCCGACTGAATGTCCGTATAACGGGAGCAGACGAGAAGACTGCCAGTGTAGGAAAGATTACACAGCAGCTGGGTTTTCCACCTTCAGCAAAGTAAGGCTGGACCTGAACACTATGCAAATAATAAGTGAGTAAAAACAGGGCCTTGCCATTAAAAAAAAATGTTTATTTTACACAAATATAGCTGTCACTACAAACAAGCAGTAGTACTCTAGTGGGCAATATTCCTGAGCTCTCCTGTTAAAAGCTGCTTTTAAACTTGGTCACCAGTTTGCTGCTTTACACTTAGGGACTGCAACTCGAGTATATCAGAGATGCTCATACTATTTCTCTGTAATACGGGAAAATATTAAGAACAGTCGCTGGTACATCTGCTATACAGAATGAATATTTGCGTGCTCCCGGCAGGCCAGTGTATTTTTTTAATATTTTATTTTATTTGGTCTCCTATTTTCAGACTGCACTCAGGCAGAAAGCTTAACCAGGGAGGAGCTGGCCCCCCGTTTTACACACAGAGGTGTCAGGAGATCCCAGTGCAGGGGACTCCACTGGGGTTGGGATGCTGCTCCCTCCGGACCAGCACAGAGGAGGCTCTTGGCAGAGCCAGACCATGGGAAAATAATTTGTGTTGAGAGTGATGGAGCTGGGGCCGTGGATTTGCAGGGGAGGAGGGGGGTGTAGCTGTGCAATATAAGTGATTCCCTGTCTCTCCTGTCATTTATGGGAGCTGGGAGCCATGCCGCTGCTGGAGAGCCTCAGTATCCCATAGGATTACGGTTTCAGTGCCCCTAACTCCAGGGATGCTATCAGTTTCCAGCAAATGTTTTCAAAATAAAACATATTGTTGGGGGTTCATTCAGTAAATAGCAGAGATTTTTTAGCAAATCAAAATCCTTCCTTGTAAAATGACTCTGTATCTGATAAGGATTTTTTTATCACTTAATTTTCAAGTCATGAGACCTCCCAGTCTATCAATCTGTAAAAAGCTACTAATAGTCTGTAAAAGCTCCTAGGTGAAGATATGAAAGGAACCACCCTCAGGGAATTTGATACCAGCTCCCTTTGAATTTCAAAAGGAGCTGGGCACCTACCTCTGTCAGGCAGGAGCTATCTCACATCCCCATCTAAATGAGTTACTTCAGATCCCTCCAGAGCAAAATACCCCAATTCCCTTTGAAACCCCGACCCCTGGGCTGGGGCAGCCAGGAGAGCACAGAGATGGTTGTTTGCCTTTGTTTAAAAGGGAGATTTAGGAGGACCCATGGCCTTCTTGAAAGTGGGGAATTTTGTGATAAAGAAATAAAACCAAAGTCACGGGTTCGAGTTTTGTTGTTATTTGTACCTGAGCCCTAAATCACCAATGTACTTAAACTGAGCTGTAGATGTTGAGCGTGTAAGTGTCCTGTTAAATTCAGTGCTCGCGTGCTGGGAGTCACATGTGGGATGAATTGGGGGATTTAATATTAAAAATCCAGCAGTCTTGACTCTCAAGATTAATGTACGTAACCAGCTTTAGTGAATTTAAACATTAGCGAAGAGCATGTTTACGTTTATTTTGTCTCTCTCCCTGCATCTTTCTCTCCGTGTTATTCACCAACTATTCTCCACAGCGACTGATTTACAGTTTGCACGGACACATGATGGACGACCTGTTCCTTATGCCACTGCTGGGGACTGCTACAGTGCAGCCAAATGCCCGCAGGTATTTGACAACAGCATTTCATAGGAATTGGTGCCATTTGTTTTGTTCAGGCCCTCTATTAATTACTGCTGATTGCATCAGCCCAACACCAATGAGTGCCACATTCTCATCTCAGTGGTGGGAAACTTTTCCCTTTGTCCGTGCAGAAAGCACTCTCCATTTTCCCTCTGGGAAAATGTCAGGTTATCGTCAGACCAGCATGGGGACTGGCTAAGGGACATTCCCCAGGGCTCCCGCAGTGCCCTGTGGGTGCTCAAACAGTCAACAGTAAAGGAGAAAAGGAAGAAGAAACAGACTGTGGGAGAAGGGCTGGGCTTTGCATGTGTAGTTGAAGGTAGGGGGATCAGTCCGTGGCAGGGCTTGGTGGAAATGCTGGGCAGGGAGAGCAGTAGTCAGTCAGGCCATCGGGATGCCCTGGGACCCTGCCTCTGCATCCCGCAGTCTCGTATCTGCTGAAACTGCTGTTTGCAGGGGTGTGGGAAGATGGGTGAGATAACCCCTCTGGATGGAGAAGGCAGCAGACAGACAGCAGGACTCCTGCCAAGCCAGCTCAGGGGGGAGATGCCCGAGAAGGAGAGGGCATTTGCAGGGCAGGAACAGGTTGGGTTTCTGCTGCTGGACCAACGGACTCCATCAGTCAGTGACTGCAATGGTACCCACCAGCTGCTGTCCCACTATCCCCATGCCCTGCTGCTTATTTTCACAGCAGCCTGGTGGGACCATCACTCACTCCACTTTGGGGCTGGGAAAACACTGACAAAATGTAGGCAGTGCCTGCACATCAGGGCAAATCCAGCCTGTCTCAGCACTGCGAGGTGCCCGGCTGCTGAAACACAGAGCTGAGCGCAGGCTAAGTCACATCCTCAGTAGCTTCAGGAGGCAACGTAGGACATCTAGCCCAGTCACTTGGAAGAAATATGCTTTCTTGAAAGTCTTTAGAAGACTAATTAACACTGTGGCTTGCTCTGTGTCCTCAGCACACCTAGTTTCTGTGGAGCTGGGGGATGGATGATAAGTGGTATGGTTGGGTAGTCCAAGGTATTGGGTAGACCATATTTGCAAAGGGCATCAAGTAGGGAATTGCAGCAACAGACGGCAGAGGGCAAACCTCTCCATCTCCTTCCCTCCCTGCTTTCAGAGCTGACACTTTTCTGCACAGCTCAGCGGCTTAGGGATTGACTTCTTACCTCGGGAAGGCTCATGAATGTTAATATCCATCCACCTGACCCAGACAGTTTGCTCCTTGCAGAAAATCAACATTCCCAAGGTGGCAAGTGCAGGGAGCAAAGCTAACAGCCATCTGGTACCGCGCAGCCGTGCTGGGCTGCGGATCAGCCTGGGGATCTGGCCACAGGATCCCTCCTTGGGTCTAGAAAAAGGCAGGGCTGGGGTCTGCCATGGAGGTAAGGGGAAGGCTGGGGAGATCTGCATTGGATGCAGACATAGCCCTTAATTTTCGCCCCATTTTGTGCATTTTGAGACAGCGTGGAATGAAGTGAAGGACATTTTTAAGAAATAAACAAATGAAAGAATTTGGATTTTACTGAAGTCTGGGGGGAAGGAAAAAAAAAGCCCAGTGGAAAATAAGGAAAATAAGGACAAGTGTGCCCTCTCCAGTTGAGGAGGGAGTAGCAAGAGCGACTGCAGCGCATCCCTGGGGTACCTTTCCCATCAGCTGCTGGAGCACGTCAGGCTCTGCAGTTTGCCATGGAAAAGCCAAGAATGCCCTCAGCCGGCAAACTGTGAAAAAGCAGTGCAAAACCGAGAAAAAACAGTGAAAAACCAAGATAAAGCCCCTCCTTCCCTGCAGCCACCAACCAGAAGGAAATTCCTAACCCGAGACATGCTGTGATTTGTACAACATGTGCTGATCACTATCAGAGCAATGGAAAAAACTGAAAACGTTGCCGGCAAGATCCTGGTAGAAAAGTGACGCCGTGGCAAAAGCACGGGATTTCGGGATAACCAGGCTCGTCTGTTTGTTTTTTAGGGTCGCTTCAGCATAGACCTGTACGGGACAGGCCTGTCCTTAACGGGAACGGCAAAGTGGCTCTCACAAGGGAATTACGCAGTGTCGGAAATTCAAAAATCCCCAGTAAGTTGTAATTTTAATTATGGTTACACCCACTCATAAGAAGTTTCTAATTGTTGTCTTTCATGGCAACATTTTCCGAGTAGAGACTAACAAAAATCTAACATCTGACATCAGAAATGAAGTGTTGCCTGTAATTTTATGTGAGGTGGGGGGGCCCTAGCAGGTTTAACTTGATTTGAGTTATTGCAATTAATTAGTGAGCCTGCTTAACCGTGAAGCTGAAAACACTGAGTGCCGTGGGGCAGACATATCCCTAATTAGTTGTCTGAGATGTCCGGCACAGAACGTGCATCACACAGCGGGCAGGACCAGGGCGCATGGGGTCAGGGCTGCAGAGCAGGGCTTGACCTGCTGGAGAGGGTCCAGGTGCCAGGTGAGTGCCCTGAGTAGGAATTGTTCCCCAAACGTTGCTAATAAAGTGCGGAGGACGTGGACCTTCCCGCTGGGCTGGGTTTATCTCCTTGGGAGAGACCCAAGTCACCCGAGCTCCGGTGAGCTGGGGCTGCCCCACAGCACGCTGCACCCCCGGGCACTGTCCCCTGCGGCTGCCCAGGGCTCTGCTGACCCTGAGGCCTGCGGGTAAGCCAGGCAGGCCTTCAGAATCACTCCACAGCCAAATTTGAACTTGTATGGCTTAATTTGCCTGCCCGTTAACCCCTCCGCCACTGTGTGCCGTCGCACCATTGCTTCTGTGTCATGGTCTGAAATTAGAGAAACCCAGGATCGCTTTTTTGGCTGTTACTTCACGTGAGTCATCCTGATTGCCCCTGTTAAAGCTCTCCTAAGGAGGTCACCATAATCATTTAACAAAAAGCAATTTGCAGAATATCCTCTCCTGTACTGCTTTCAATCTCCCTGGCTCTGGGGAACGCCTTGAGCCCATGAGCCTCATCAGTGCTGGGGCTCTTAAAGGAGAATTGAATGCTGCTGGTCCAACCATGCTGCAGCAAAGTATCCCCCAGTACCGGTAGAAGACAACCAGCACAGACCCCATGTGTTAGTTCTGGCAGGTGCTTTGCTATTCTTCTCCCCTTCTGAAAGGAGAAGCAGCCAACTCTGAAGTTGTGGAGAGCAGCCACAATCACAGCTGGCAGAATTAAAACAAACTTTAAGGGACAAGGGGTCTAAGAGACAACTCTTACCTCCATCACCCGGTGGCATCTGTCAAATGCTGTTGCAGGGGTGTAATTGGTGGCAGGAGCAGAAGAAAGGCAGGCATAGTGAGAAGAGATGATAGCAGCCTGCTGCAGTCACAGATGAATAGTGTCAAGGGCAGGATGGAGCTCATTTAAAAATAAATGCTTTGTGCCAGCTTGTCCTGCACTTAAGTCCAATTTTCTGGTAATTGAGGGTTGAATTCCCCTCAAGGACTTTCCATTGTAATGATCAAGAGGCAAAAGACTCTGCAGAGGTGGGATAAGGAAGGCCAGATGGAGGTATTAATCTCCTGACGCAAGACCGGAGTTGCACCATGCTTGCTGGGCTCTCCTGGAGACCCGGGCAACCCCAGGACCAGTCCGCATCTTCCTTTGTCTCTTCTGGCTGTGGAAGTGCAGAGCTGAGGCGGGACGCCACCTTAGCAAGTGGCATAGCCTCATCTCATTGCTTTCCCTCTTGGCTTGGCTCTGGAGCCACTCCAGGCCTTTCCCTGCCAAATGGATGTTTCTTGGTGTCCTGGTTTCAGCTGGGATAGAGTTAATTTTCTTCCTAGTAGCTGGTATAGTGCTGTGTTTTGGATTTAGTATGAGAATAACGTTGATAACACACTGATGTTTTAGTTGTTGCTAAGTAGTGCTTACACCAGTCAAGGACTTTTCAGCTTCCCATGCTCTGCCCGGTGCACAAGAAGCTGGGAGGGGACACAGCCAGCACAGCTGACCCAGACTGGCCCAAGGGCTAGTCCATACTGTATGGCGTCATGCTCAGTATATAACTGGGGCGAGTTGGCCAGGGGGACGGGAAGGGATTGCTGCTTGGGAACGGGCTGGGCATCACTCAGTGGGTGGTGAGCAATTGTGTCAGGTATCACTTGCTTTGTATATTATTATTGTATTATAGTATTATTATTACTACTACTACCATTCTATTTCATTTTACTTCAATTATTAAACTGTTCTTATCTCAACCCAGGAGTTTTCTGACTTTCACCCTTCCAATTCTCTCCCCCACCCCACTGGGGGGGGAGTGAGTGAGCGGCTGTGTGGTGCATAGTTGCTGGCTGGGGTTAAACCACAACACTTGGTATTGCGTGCAAATATCCTTCCTGTGCCCTTCCCATGCCGAGGCACAACTGAGGTGCTGTTGTTGTCTAGATGTGGTTTTTCTCTTGCATGATCCAAGTTTTCCAGAGAAAGAGGATACCCTTGAGATATCCCTCCAAATGGCCTTCTCCTTGGGCATCTCTCAATGTAATACATCAAAACTGCCCTTTCTTATTTGTGTTCACCATCTGACCTGGTAGCACTAAAGGGAATTACATTTGCATATATTTAAATATAATGGTGATTTCGTAGATTGAGTTAGGCATAATTTGTTTTCCTTCCAAGACATTTCTTATTAAAAATCCTGGCTAGAATAACCCAGATCTGGCCCTTTCACAGAACGGAGTTCCTGAGCCCTTACGTGAGATGTTATTTCTGATTTTGCCTGCAGGATGGTACCAAAGTAGTAGGAAAATGTGGCGGTTACTGTGGGAAATGTACTCCATCATCTGGAACAGGCCTCGATGTCCAGATGTTATAGCGATGGTGAGTTCCCAGCTGCTTCTGCACAAAGGGAAATCTTCCCCAAAACGTCCTGAAGGAGCAGATCAGGCCACGCTTGCAAAAGCACTCCTGTATCGAGTGCATCGGTGACAGCCACCCACCCCACGCACCATCAGGGGAGCAAAATGAGATCCAGTGCTCCCAGTCCCTGCTTCTCCCAGTAACGCTTGTGGGTGTAACACTGTCAACTGGAAACGCACTGCCCACCTCACAGGCACCTGCTTCGGCTCTGCTCTTGTGCTGGTGTCTCTAGTTACAGGTTTCAGAGGTGAAGCTGATGATCTGACTCTAATGTGCACCTTGTCTGTGTTTTCCAGGTTCTCTGAGAGCAGCCAGCAGAGATGAAGGATAGCGATGCAATACCTCTGCCTTCCGCTTTTTTTTATCTGTATATAGATTGCATATTCTTAATGTACAGTATAATATTTATGTTTGGAGTTATTTATTTTGAGTTAATATTTTTGTACGTAAAATCATTCTATTAAGGCTGCTTTTACTATTTTTATTTTTTATTGTTAAATCCTGCAGTCAAACCACTGCATTTTGCGTACTCTACATTATATGTAGCATTATGACAAGTGATACTTTATTGTCACTGTATTCAGTTGTTTACTTTCAATCAGTAATTTTCCTTCAGTTACGGGCTGCTTTGGCCCTCTACGGTGCTACACAATCTGCATAGGGGTATTTTTGGCATTTCAATCTGTCTTTATGTAAGGAAAGTAGACAAGATGTGCTTAAATTTTATTTTTAGGGATTAGGCCGACAGCACTCAAGGAAAACATGGCAATGAATACAGTGCTAGTTGCATTAGCAATCTTTATCTTTTAGGTATGTTTTGAATTTCACATGACCTCTGTGGCCAGTGCTAAAAGCACTGGTTTGGTGCTAACATGATATTTATTAATGCTCTGTAGTTTTAGTTAATCCAATGCCTTTATCAGTGAAAAAACGAAGAAAGCAGAAAAAATTGTCAGGCGATTCAAATAAATTAAGATCTACCCCAGGTTTAGGAAAATTTCTGCAGATGGATCTTCCGCTCGAGCCCCTTTTTTGTAGGGCTCTGAAGTGAACTCGCTTTTTAAAAAAACATATATTTGTTTCCTAATTGCATGTGCCACTGTGCTTCCTGGCTCCATCTGGAAGCGGGGTATTAACATATCCCAGACAGGCTGATCAGGCCATATGTTTCCCTGGGCTGTGTGCTGAGAAGCGCTGCAGTTTTTTACGGATGTTGCCACAAAATCCTAACGTGAAGCTGAAAGCGTCCCTGCCGTGTTATCTCCCCGCTGGGCCGGTGAGGACCGTGGGGTCCGCGTGCTGGGGGACAGGACGCCCAGCCAAGCCGCCCCTTCCTCTTGGCTGGGGACTCCATTGAGGCACCTGCAGCGTTTCCCTGGCTTCCTACTCACTCACAGACCATCTGCAAAGGGAGGCTTCAGCGCCGGCTCTGCCTCGTTTCAACAAGATCACTCTGTACTTACAGATAACTCTGCCCCTCCCTTCAAAAACAGGCTGCTTTACGCCTACTTCTGTGTTGCTTCGGATCTTCCTGGTAAGGCATCTGCGCTCCTTGCCTATCCGCCATCCCGTGTACAACCAGACCTTTAGCGCTGGCTTTTTTTTATTTTAAATTGAGGAGACAGCTCCCATAGGCGCAGAACGCGGCTGTGCGATGACTCCTGCCTGTACATAGCCCGCCGCTTGTGGCACGCCACGTTTTCGCAGAGCTTCGTAGCACGTTGAACGGGGGTGATGTGACCAGATTATTTTTGTAGTCTATGACTATGTCCCTTATCTCTTTCTCCACAATTTTACTTAGTGATAGGAAGATGCTGCCTCATTGCCTTATATGTCGGGGCAGCCAGGAGCACAAAGTACACGGAAAGGAAGCTTTTCAGCACAAAATTGCCAGCAGTTTGGAAAACTGAAGAGGCTTCTCTGCTACTTCAGCTAAGTCTTGCAATTTTGGATGCAAATAGTTAACAAACCCAACCTCAGGATCTTGTGTGAGTCTTTTGCAGAGCTCCCCAAAGGATACGTAATCAGTCTGTTACAATACAGTCGGATCAACGATAAACGATCCGATCCCTGGATTCATAACCCACGTGTGCGCCAGGCTGCGTTCAGCTTTCAGAGTGAAACCTGTCAGCCTGACAGTCAGGGATCGACGCATTCACATCGGCTGGGAGGCATCTCAGGCGAGCAGGGCTGTGGTACAGTCCAGCAGCTAAAGAACTGGTGCTCTACACTTACTCTGTGTGTGCCTCTGCTGCTCTTATTAATATTCAGACTTAGAGGAAAGAATGAGACTCTCACCCATAATTTGGGTTTTTTGGCTTAGTAGCACATAAGTAGATATGATCATATCTTAGAAAGACTAATTTTTCACCAACGTTTTATGTCTATGCATAACGATAATAAATTCTACCTTTCTGAGAAAAATGCCAAAAATGCCAAAAATACCATTTCAAAGTGAAAGAAAAGCGGGAAAGGGAAAGGGGAAAAGAGAAAGAGGAAAAAGGGAAAGGGGAAAGGAGTAGTAATGGAATAGTGATTTTTTTTTTTTAACAATAATTGCTTATGTACAACTTCTGTAGGGGAAAAGGGAAAATTGCACTATGAACTTTAGAAAGAAACAGTGGTGCTTAGAAAGTACAGGCTTATTATATTTTCTCTAATGAAGTGAATGGCTATTTATAAAAAGAAGTATTATTTTGACCTGTACACATTCATTTCTACCATACAGTTCCATAGCAGCTAGGAACAGAGCAAGAGAAACCTAAAAAAATGTTGAATGAACTATAAGGGAAAAATGATAGAGCACTGATCCCGTGGTTCATTAATGGGCTTCATTAAATAGGAACAGACTTTGAGGACCAGAGACATTAGACATTTCTTGTTCAGGAAACAACTCTGGGGTTTATGTATCAATGTCATTATTTTTCTACAAACTGGGTTTTTTTTTGCAAGCACTTTCCTGTACAGTGTTTCTTTTCTTTCTGCTTATACTCAAAAGGAAATGAAAAGACCCATAAGACATGTCTGTATGGCCTTTCTGCATTTGCCATCATATTTCAATACCTGTGTGCTATTATAGAGGCAAAATACTTTGTACACAAGGGAATAATACACTGAATGGTAAACATTCCTTTCTGTGCTGGTGTTTATTTCCAAGCTTTGGGTTCCTTGTTTGATTGTCCCATGCAAAAGGAACGAGGGGAGGCAATAACGTTGTTTATGTAGAGCCCTGCCCCAAGCCCGCGTTGGAGTCTGTGATCCAGGGACCATCCTGGAGAATGGCCACAGCCATCTACTTGTGCCCTGCTGGTTGGATAGACTGATGCTTCCTGATTTCTGTCCAGAGGAGGAATGGCCCGAGGTACAGAGCATACATGAGCATATCTCAGAGGTGCCCAGTGCTGCCATCCACACACCAGGGACATCCCTTGCCGTGGGGTGATAAGGGAGCTAAATGGTTCATTTTGCAAATGTTTTTGAAGGATGAGCTGGGATACTGGACCTGGTCCACACCACTAGCAGTGCTATTGAAAGAAATCTGCAAAAAAATCAACTTAGAAAAGTTTGAAAAAATAGTATCAAATATACAAGAAAATTCAGGTAGAAGAAATTTGGGTTAAAAGGAAGCAAACATGGGGACTGGCTCCCAGGAGGGCAACCAAGGAACAAACTGTAGCCAGAGTCTTACATCACCTCTGCCCCAGAGGCTGCAGGTAAGACTGAAGAAGTTGCATTTTTCTGCCCTTTCTTGTATTCCTCTTGCTTTGTCTCAGAAAATGCAGCAGATCTCTTAGTGCTGGCAGCTCCAGCCTTTTTCAGCTTCTATGTTTTTAATCCAAAAGGAGAGAGGATACCTTTCTCATGCTGGCTAAAACACTGTCAGATGCAGAAAACAGAACATACGGGATTTCAAAAGCTTGATTCTTAGTTTAAATGACCAGTATCTTAAAGGTGTCTTTCTTTTCCATCATTTATCTTTAATAAATGATTACAAAGGCTTTAAACATGGGCTGCTGTGGAATTAAGCCAACAGGGGGTCTGTGCACAGCCCCTGAATCATATTTAGCCTTCCAGCCCTGTATAATGAAAGGGTCATTTTAACACTTTTGATGCTTAGGTCCAGTTATTCTATGAAAATTACAGCACTCTTCTTCAGCCTCGTTGTACGGCCTATCAGAACTAACTGCTCCAGAGACAGAGGTGATTGCTTCATCTGTTCAACGTTCCTTTCTGCCCCAATAATAGGCATTTTTTCCTTTATACAAAAATAAAATGCATTTTATTGAAGGCTGTTGGAAACGCACATCTCAAGGAGCTAGTCTTAAATCAGGACATTTGCTAGAAAAGCTTCTTCTCCTGCATAGCCATGCTTTGAAAATTGTACTGAAAGATGGGGAGAGGCAGAAAAAAACAAGGAGGGCAGTCCGGGCTTGAAAGACAATTTTCCACTGAGGCACTTCCAGACCTGGTCTGCTGGCTCTTTCCAACAGGACTCCTCTTCCCAAACAGACGATTGAGGGCTGACTTAGAGAAAGCATTTCTGCCAGGGGAACAGTGTTGAGGTGAGACAGTTCTCCTATCTACCAGGCAAAGGGACAGAAATTCAACCAAATCCCGGAGTCATTAACAGTTGAAGCAGCTCAGCCCACGTGGTAAGTTCTCCCATCGCTTGAACTCTTCAAATTCAGAACTCTTCAAATCAAGTCTTTTTAAGAAATGCATTTGAGTTCATCCAGAAGTCTCTAACCTTAGTAGCTGTTGGTCATTTAGTAGGAAGGGATGAGGCCCTTTGCGGTAGAAATTCCTGGAGGCAGCTCTCCAGCTTGCATTGTGCAGGAGGAAGGAGCCGATGGCCAAAAGTGGTGCCTGTAGGTCTCACTCCAGTACTTTCCAAGTATTTTTGCCTGCGCTGGAGTAATCCAGGCAATAGGAGTTGTAGCCTTCTAGAAGCAGATT